TTCTCCATCATCATTTTACTGCGCATAAATATGGTGTCACTACTTCGCGGAAATTCAGTTCTCGCGGCAGGCCTTGGAACCTAGCTACCGCGATAAACGACGGACCACCGTATCAGTTAGATACGGTTAGTTGGATACGGTTTAAAGACCGTAAAAAAAAATTCAACAACCGTCTACTCAACTTTCTTTTTAAATCACCTTCAATTACAACCTTACCCTGTTTTTGCCCTTGTGTCAGAGTTGAGTTGAGCAGCATCTTGAGGGTGGCCGGGTTACTCAGGCTGGTAAGGATCTGCATGGCTGTGGGGTCAGGCAGAAGACCCTTGCCTCGGTTTACAGCCTTAAAGATGAAAGAGGATGGGGGGGGGGAAGTTAACAGCCTCAAAGTGAGCGAGCGCGCCGCACGTGACTTGCTACAACTGTGCGTACCATGGTTTGGGCGGCAATTAGCGCAGCCAACATGCTTCTTCCAGGTGGGCCGGGGGCACAGAAGGACACCCTGATGTGCGTCCCACCGAGCAGTCTGCCGTCGGTCAGTCTCTGCACCTCTTCTGCCATCTCTGGGGTGGCAAACTCTAGAACTGCAAAGCGCCGAAAGCTTCCATCTTGTCCTTGAGCCAACTGGAGAAAAAAAAAAAAAAAATGTTTGTGAACAAAAAGGAATAGTAAGCAGGATTTTCAAATTTAATTTATAATTAGTTTTTTTTAAAAAAATAAGGACATTCAAAGCTAGAATCTGATAAAAGTAAAAAAAAAAAAAAATTTTTAAAAATCTGTAAACATGAGTCTAATTTATTGTTATATTTAAAAGTCAAAAAAAAATAAAAAATAAAAAAATCCAACTGCATTAGTCACCACTTCTGCCATTCCAGAAACCACTGCTGAATGACACCACCTGGAGTCAGCTGATCGTCACTATAGAAACCAACAATGTCCACTTCCATAGAAGGTTTTGGGTGGACACTAAAAACTAGGGTAAGGGTGAAAGGGTAAAACCAGTCCACATCAGTCATTGGAAGGGTCCCCCCCCCACCCCCTACACTGAAAATATTTATACAATACATTATAAAAACAACGTTTAGAGCAAAGGTCTCCAACTTTTTCTTGGAATCGGATTCACAAAATACTATTTTTCCATGTAGCAGAAGCAGGTTTGCGAGTGCATAAAAAATAAAAATAAGGTAAAGGGCATCACAGTATTTAAGACTCTTGAGGTTCCATTTAAATTCGGTTTTCCAAGAATTGTGTTTGAGGTTAATCAGTGATTCCCGACCGTGCGCCGTGAGAGATCATTAGATGTGCCGTAGGAAATTACCCAATTTCACTTAATCGGGCTGAAAATTAATTATTTATCGCATATAATTCGTTTTGCTTGTCAAAGCGTGAAAGGCAGAACAATTAAATACTTCTGTTAGGTGGCAGCAGACGGCTTAAAAAAAAAAAAAGAAAAAGAAAAATCAGAGCCATTGAAGAAGATATTTGAGGGCGTCTTTCTTCAATTCCTGCCAGTATATCTGCATTGTCTTCAACTAAACAGGCCAAGATTTTGATCAATTAGGAGGTAATTGAAACTAGAAGATTTATTTATATATACATATATACACACATATACATACATATATATATATATATATATATACATACATATATATACATACATATATACATATATATACATACATACATATACACACATATATATACATATATATGAATTTGATTCACTCCGTGTTTTTGGTGGCTCCCTCTACTGTCTCATGATGAGGCCTTCCACCCCTTTAAAGATGTTTTTTAAAGATTTATTTTTTTAGGACACAAGAAAAAAAAAAAAAAAAAATGCACTCGAGTGATAAGATGGTATTTAGAATAATTCAAAATTATTCTATATAGGTTGGAGACCCCAGGTGTGAAGTATTTAACTTTTTTTTTTTTTTAGAATTTGTGTCACTGTTGGTAAACATCAATGCCGTATCAATTTTCTATAAATATTTCTGTTATTTGAACCGCCCTGAGTAAACAAATACAACGCTAAAAGGTGTGAGACACAGGTTAAAGATACAAATCTTACATCTGTAAACAGTCACTCTAACCTGGCAGAAGACTGGCGCGTGGCTGTCGGACAGCGCGTTGCGGAGGTCCTGGGCGGTCAGTAGGTTTGGGGGTAGGCTGTCGACACACACACATTTGGAGTGCAACAGTGGGTACGTGAGCAATCCCACCTCAGTCCAGTGGACATAGAGCATGCGCGAGCCGAGCTGCTTTCCCAAAAGCTCCGACTTGGCACGGGCTGCCGAGTCCTTCTTCATATACTCCACAAACCCATAACCCTTGGAGTGGCCAGAAGAGGCGCTGTAGATCAGGAAGCAGCGCTCTAGGTTGCCAAAGGGCCGCACCAATTCCTCAAACTGCTGCTGGGTAAAAGCTCGGGGCAAGTTGGCGATGCAGAGCAGGGCATCTGTGGGCTGGAGCTGTACGGAGATCTCCCTGTCCCTTAGCACGTGTTGGTGAAACTCTTTAATAGACCGCTGCGCCTGTTCTCCATTCAGCAGGGTGATAAACGCTGGAAGGAAAATAGGGGAAAAGGGTTGGAAAGAACTGTGTAAAAAAAAAAGGCAGAAGGACAATCGTTCATCGAGCTTTCAAACTAAGATGTTTCTAGGCACGGAGTTCTGGGAGCGGACCAAGGCTTGATGACAATAGAATTTGGCTAATAAAAGAAACAGTGGTTGACATGGCAACTGGCGACTACCTCGTCACCTTCGGGGAAAAAAAAAAAAAAGTTTGGTTCTAGACGTTTCTTTGTGCAGCTTCTGTGACAGATTCTCATCAGAATAAAGACGGCTGCACAAGAGCATTGTGTTTGTGTGTCTGCTTCTGCATGGGACGCAGTTGTCGTTCCCTGCTATTCCACAAAGGATTCGGTTAATCATCAAGCTGAAACTAAAGTTTGTTCCTCTTTAACTGTTAATTTTTGCCGAAGAGGACGTTTTTGTCTTTGCATTTTCAATTTACACTTCTGTTCTTTACTATAAATCTGCAGCCGCACCTACAACTATATACTTCTTCCCTGACTTATGTCCGAGTTTCATTCCTATGAAATTTATTCCGAATTTTTCATAGGAAACTATGAAAAATTCGGAATAAATTTTGAAAAGTATTTTCCCAAAAAAAAATGTCAAATTTTTCAACATCAGTCCAAAAACATGCAACAAAAAAAAAATTCAGGACTTAGTTTTCAGAAAACTAAGATCCCCTTTTCCTCTGTTGAAAATTCAGGTTCTGAGGTTAAACCGTGTATGGACTTAACCCATTTCAGTTGTTCAACAATGACATTCTTAAATACAGCACGCCTAATGAGTGTTCACTGTGGTGATGATACAAACGAGGAGACAAACCTGTGCCCTTGTACTTGTCGACAAAGCAGTACTTCAGGTCAAATTTGGTCAAAAGCTCATGGACTTCCTGTAAAAAAAAAAAAAAAAAAAAATTAAAAATTAATTAAATAAAAATAAAACTTTTCTTCCCGCATTTGGGAAGACCTGCTAAGTATGAAAAATTAATTCATCACACACTGTGGAGCAGTGGGTGCAAAGGGTCATCACACTCATACGAGGATGATCAGAACTGTGTTGTCATCAATGGAAATTTAAAAAAAAAAAAGAAAAAAAGCGTTTTAAGTTTAAGTAAAAAAAGGAAAATTAAAAAAAAAAAAAAAAGAGTTAAGTTTAAGTAAAAAAGGAAACTTTAAAAGACCTTTTAAATATCAAAACATTGCTTCTGTTTACTACTGTTTTGAAGACTACCTACCAAGTACGATTATATTATTTTAGCGTATAATACCTAATGATCATGACCCAAAAGTAAGGGATTTTCCTCATCCAACATAGAGTACGTATGTTTTTACAGATGTACTTTTATGTTCATGGTTATTATTGATGCAATGCTGAATTGCTCATTTTGGCAATAAGTCAATATTGATCACTTGAGTTAATCACCCATTTCGATAAACACAAAATTAACTCAATTCACATCCCTGTGAGGGAGGTGGAGACCTTAATACTTGAAATGTGCACTGCGCAGTACTTTGTGCCATTCACAAACAAATAAAAGAGGTCGTCCAGCGTTTTCTGAAACATTTGACGTCCCAGCACCCTCTACCTTTTGTTATTTTTCAGGGCGCATCTCGAACTCCCCCCCTCGGTGCGCCCCGACCCCGTGAACAATGGTGCGGACTGCAGATTCTTTAATCCGCACGAGTCAGGCACGTTCCAAAAAAAAAACCCTGACGAGGTAAAAAAAAAAAAAAAAAAAAAAAAATTGACAAAAAAAGCTTGTGATATAAAACTGAATAAACCCAGAGATTCTACACATGTTAAACACTGGAAAGTGTTGACACTAAACTTTACGAGGATTGTAAACCACCTGGCACTTGACATGAGCAAAATTGCCTTACCTTTTTAAAACTTTCTATTAGTATTTTAATTTTTGGTCATGGAAAGCGAGTTCATTTAATGGACGCGGTTAATGATAGTTGTAAACTTTCCCCCCATACCTTTGTAAACTTTTTAGGGCAGCTAGGTTAAATGGCCGCCCGCATTTGGCTCGGCAAACCAATTGAAGCTAAGCTAACGTTAGCAAAATGCTCACGTCAATCAATTAATCAATCACGGTTCACATTTGACAACGACGGGTCTACCTGGTTGCTAACGTCCGAGGGCAAGTTTTTAATAATTATCTTTCGACGATTGTAAAACTCCCGGCGAGTTCTTTCCAACCGGCCCTCAATTTCTTCTGGGCTTAGCGGTGCCTGATCTTCTTCCAACGTCCGCTGACATTCGCGTCCCTGGGTCCGAGAGTCCTCTTTGCCCGGTTCCACTTCGTTGGGCCGCCGGCCCTCCCCGGTTCTCCATAAACCCTGGTCCGCGGCGTTGTCGAGGTATTCATGGGGCGGACGGGAAGCGTAAATGAGCCCTGAGTCTCCGCTTTGGTCCCCGGCAGCTGCGCTAACAGACGCTGCGGCAGCCATCCCTTGTTATTTGGTAACTGCTTTCTGGCCTCTGCTCCGGCAACTGTCTGATTTTGAGCAGTTTAAACAATACACGCGTGGCTCGTGCGACGCTTCTCATTGGACGAGAAGAGGTGACGTTGAAAGTGACGTTGGCAGCGCAGGGAGGAGCTTACGGGGGTGCAAGGGTTTAAAACTGTTGCGTTGCTTGGTTGAATTTATCCACAGTCCACTTGTTGACTAGTTTCTAACCCTTTTTGAGAGATTTATCTCATTTATGTTCAACAAAATGTTGGCATAACACACACAAAAAACGCTTGAAATGCTAACATGTTAACCACACACAAAAAACGCTTGAAATGCTAAGCCAACCAAACATCTTCAATACAAAAATAGATAAGCATGAACTAACATTTTAATTTTGTGATTTTTTTTTTTCCCTAAATAGACCCAAATGCTTTGCTTTTGACTTTGGTCTGGAAAACAAAGAGAATGTAAAACTTGGTTTGTTATACTTTATTACTAAAAACAGAAGTTAATACTCACTCAATCACAATCAGAAACAGAAAAGAAAAACGAACCAAAAAAAAAGTAAACGACAACCTACTCGTACGTCACGTAAATGCAAAACAAACACACACAGTGGGCTGCCGCCAACAGCCCACCTTTCCCCCCGTGGCATTTACCTTGTCGAGCAGGAAGGTAAAACAACAACGACTGAGTTTATTATTGGATTCATACTTTCAGGTGTCAGAAGACGGCGGGGTGCTTAAATTGTGGTTAATGAAATAATATACTGTATATATAATATATTACATAAGGAAGAAATACAATAGAAGCCAGAAGGCAACACCGTATATGTCAACCAAGCAGTCGTAATTGATCAGCAAATCTGAGCTAGGGAAAAGTTTGTACCGGGCTGCCAGTCGTACATTCGATGAATGCTCTCGAAGCGATCAATTAGACCCTGGAACGAAGGCCGCTGCGCAGGATCTGCAGACCAACACTGCTGCATCAACAGCGTCACCTGTGGGTGAAACAAATGAATAAAATAAATATAAATATAAATACGAAAATGTCACGGTATTTATACCCGCGCTAAAAGGTCACACTTATTTAAAGGGCACGCTCGTTTTACCTCATGTGGGGAATCTTTCGGACAAGGCAGCCGCGTGTGTGCCTCTAACAGCTTTATCAGAGCCACCAGTGTTATTCCTTCCTGCGTCGAGTCCATCATTTCGTCGAATTTCTACCAAAACGGCAATGGTTTGTTATTACGTGGGCATCGATCGTAACTTGAATCGATTTGTTTTAAATGAATTCTTCGAATTCAGTGACATGCACATAGCGGTCGCACTTGAATCGATTTGTTTTAAATGAATTTAAATGAATTCAGTGATATGTACATAGCGGTCATGTACCTTTGGAGGGCTCTGGCGGGGGTCGCAGCGCGTCAAGATCTCGTATAGCGTCACACCAAAAGACCAAACGTCGGAGGAAAAGGAATATTTACCCTCCTTGAGGCACTCAATGGCATACCTACATCGTGGTAAATAAAACATAACAGTTGAATAATAGTCAGTGGACGCCGCTGTCACTGTCAGGTGCCGGAACTTACCAGAACACGGGGCTGTCCCCGTCCTCGCGCACGCGATAGTAGTTTTGACCATCGGGGATATATTTTGTCAGACCGAAGTCTCCGATCTTCACCAACTTGTCATTTTCCACTAAGACATTGCGGGCCGCCAGGTCTCGATGGATGTATCGTTGGGAGTGTAAGTAGTTCATCCCCTTGGAATAAAACAGATTTTATATGACGTAAAAAATCACAGAGAGACAACTCAGGAAAAAAACGGTTTATAAGCCTCATTGAATTAAAGCAGTGTTTCTCAAATAGTGGGGCGGGGCCCCCATGGGGGGAGCGTGGTATGATGCCGGAGGGGGACGGGGGGGGGGGGGGCTTTCAATGGAATATGGCACGCTGGACATAAGTGCATCACTGCTGGGATGCATGAATGGTAACGAGCCTCCAGCCACTAGGTGGCAGCAAATCATACAGTGGTTTGTACAGATAATAAATATACATGTAATTAGGTTCTCAATAGTATTTCAATTCGCTGGGTGTAGGTCGCTACGTATCTCTATTTCCGCCATAAGTCGGAACTCACACATGTCACTCAGCTATGCTAACACAGAGGTAAAATCATAATCTAGGACAGAGGTGTCAAATTCGTTTAGGTTCAGGGGCCGCATACAGCCTTATTAGATGTCAAGTGGGCCGGACCTGTACAATCATAACATAATTACTTATAAATAATAATAAGTCCATGTTTTACAAAGTGTTCAAATTTTATGAAATATCATTTTACAAAACATCATGAAGATGGAGTGAAACTCCCAGCGGGCTGGTTTTGGTCTGCGGGCCGTATGTTTGACGCCCCTGATCTGGGACATAAAAACTGTCTTAGCTATCTACACGACAGCTCAAAAGTCAAGATACGAATCGAGCCAACTTAGAGAGCATCATCTTTGTTAATAAACACAAACAAACTTCATACCTACTAACATGCACTATTTATGTCTGTTTTTTTTAGTCTTTTTGTCAAGTTGTCCTAATGTATTCGGAGACTGTTACACACACCAATTTTTGAAAATCCTTTCCATTCTGTGAGTCCAAAACCAAAGCCTATTTCCTCGTCCGTTTGGTTAATGAAGGCGCAAGTGAATTTACGACCTGCATACTTGAGGTTTCATTGCACTGAATTGTTATAATTGCATGATTAAATGAGGTTTTTATAGCAAGATGGAAAACGTCTTACCTGACAGATCTGCTGAACAAACAAAAGGCACTGGGCCATACTCAGTTTGTGTGTGGGAAGGTAATCTCGCAGACTCCCCTGAGGAAGGTACTCCATTATCAGCTGCACCACTTGTCCTCCTATCAATGGACCAGCCGACAATGGGGTTTTTTTTTTTTTAATTCATGTCAAAGACGTAAATAACAATGCAAAACAACATAACTCATATATCGGAGCATACTTTGGATACATGGGATACTTTGTTACGCCCATATTTGGGAAATCCACATGTTAACAGCAGATCTTCTGTAACAAGCTGCCACTAGAAGGCGCCAAGTAGTTTTCTGTAACAAGCTTATGGGCCAAATATGACACATAAGACTGTCCTAGGGTCTTCATTCCATGTGAGATGTGGGCCAAATAAAAGACTGCACGTGCTAACATTGACCGGGATGTGGGCCACAAACATTTTTTTGCAATTAGAGAGCTAGTTTGTTGGCAAATAAGCATATCAGTGCTCCACAGCAAGACACCCAAACTATCTCTTAGCTCAGGCGTGGGCAAACTTTTTGACTCGCGGGCCACAACTGTCCTAAAATTGAACAGGGGGGCCGGGTCAGGAGCAGATAGATGGAGCGTTTGGGTAAACTAAGATAAATAAAGGCTAAAATGCTAAAATGCTTTTATCATTTTCTACACCATCTATTGGGGAAACGTAGGTACTGCAGGGGAAAAGGGAGAGGTATAATGATGAAAAAGCTGAACGGGCCGCATCTGGGCCCCGGACCTTAAGTTTGCCCATGCCTGCCTTGGCAGATGTGAACGCATGCAGACAAACGTTTGAGGACTCACCCATTTCGGTGCAGCAACCTTTGTACTTGACGATGTTGATGTGTTTAAGAGACTTTAAAATCTTGATCTCCCTTATCCAGCTCTCAACGCCACTGTCGTTGCCCTGTTTCAAAGCCTTCACGGCTACGTACTCTCCCGTTCCGTCATTGGCCGGGTCGTAAAGGTAGAGAGTCACTGTTCCGAAATTGCCCTGCGGATACAGAGGATATGAATCAGCGTGAGTAACAATGAGAGAGACAATGGAGAAGAGAGTCATTTAACAGCCATGAAGTTGGTATCCATTTGACTAAGGTCCTGTGTAATAACAAGTTAGTATTTAAGGCGTTTATTTAGGGCGTTACACTGACAATTTTAAAATATGTTAAGAAAATAACAATTAAGCTTCTGTCATATCTTATTCTGGAAAATTCCAGAAACAAACAAACATATTTACATAACCTGCCTTCCAGGCCGCTGCGTTAAGACTGTCATGTGCATTCATTGTAAGATATCATCCTTGAAATAAAGTGCCTGTGTGGACTGTCATGTTAGCTGAATCGTATTTTGAGCGTACCTGCCCAAATATCTCAAATAAAAGTTGTTGGTTTACTGAAAAGGTGCAGAATAGTTTTCAACCAATGAGAAAAGTTGGTTCAGCAAGTTGGTGTTCCGGCGACCAAACTGCTGGTTAATATATAAATCGCAAAGATGAATAAATGTACAGATGTTTATTTTATAAACTTTATCGATTCGACACATTCTTGGAAATTCTACTGTTAACAGCAGATGTGCTGCAACAGGCTGCCACTTGGAGGCGCCAAGTATAAATCAAACCCTGGAATCGCTGCGTGCTAACCGCTACACTACAGAACCACCGAATGGACTTTCCCATACCAGGAGTCGAACCAGGAATCTTAACCGCTAGACCTTATGCGATGTAATTTTAATATGCTAACTACTATACAGCTAAAGCTAGACCGTGTACTGTAGGTACGAAAGTATTGTACCATTTAAAACTACAGCCATTTAATCGAAGTACCCCAATGTAATAATGTATATAAACTGGTTTATATGAGTAAATGTATACCGAGAGTTTTCAATTATATCATTAAAAAAAAAAAAACGTAGTGAAATTCATTCAATCTTCCTACAAACAGTCGATGATAACGACAAGCTCACCTGTCCCAAATAACGAATCTCTTTCAGATAGCGTTTATGGTAGACACCGGCGTCTGAGTCTGGGTCAGCATTATTGGGCAATAAGTCAGTATCTGTGTGTTCAGTGGAAAAAGAAAAAACACAAAAACAAAATCACTCAGTGTATAGGACGTATTCTCAGAAAGGATCAAAGATGAAAAGCAAAAAAAAAAATGTCAACGCACTTTCCGGGAGGCCTGGGAGCTCTGTGAGTTTTCTGAGGATCGTGCGGAACGAAGGACGCTCCATGGGTTCGTAGGTCAAACACATGCTGATCAAGGAAGCCAGTTCCTGGGAGGAAGGTTCAGCCAATCGACCCTTCTGTTGGTAGAAGTGCTCCTTCTGTTAGGGGAAAAGGTTCTAGAGTCAGTATTAGAGCCGTACTTCTCAAATAGTGGCGCGGGCCCCCCCCCCCCTGGGGCCCCCCCCCAGGGGGGGGCCACGGGGGGGGGGGCTTCCAATGGAATTGGGCACACTGGGGGGGGGGGCGCTAATGTGCAACCACAGGCTGTTTGTCAGCAGTATTGACCTAGTTCAGTCACGATTTAATCTCTCAGTAATGAGTTCACGTTAGCGTCGTCGGGGGATGAGGCAAAAAAAGGAAATTCTAAATAATTTCCTTTGCATGTATCAATGACGTGCAAAATGCTTTATTAATATAATTATTTTGAAAAAATATTTTTGAAAATAATCCTTTTTAAAAAAAAGTAACAAATTACATTTACTCAAGTTGCTGTAATGGAGTAATTTTACTCTTACTTAAGTACTTTTTGACTCAAGTATTTTACTTTGCTACATTAGAAACAAAATTTTGTTACTAAGTGAAAAATCAACGCAGATTTCCCTCTATGACAGTAATAAGGGAGTTTTTTAAAGGGCCAGAACGGATTAATTTTTTTTTCTGTTATTTCTTATGGGAAAAAAATGATTTGAGATACGAGCACCTCGAGTTACGAGCTCGGTCCTGGAACGGATAATGCTCGTATCTGGAGGTGTTACTGTATGTGTTCTGGTCATTCGAGCATCGTTTAAACGCGACAAACTTTTGTATTTTTTTTCAAAGGTGGGGCGGGCCCCCATGAGGGGGCACGGTGTGGACATAAGTGTACCACTGCTGTAATTCTTGAATGATAACAAGGTCACTAGGTGGCAGCAAATCATACAGTGGTTTGTACAGATATAAAATCACTAGGGTCACTAGGTGTGGGTCGGAGGCTGGGGGGGATGGAGGGTTGGGGGGGGGTGGGAGGCGTGAAAACATTTCTGGGGTATGACAGAAATTCAATTGAGAACCACCGCATTAGAGGGAGACGGGAGCCGCGGCTGAGGGAGAAATAAAAGGCTCGCTGTGAAGGATCAGGAACATCTAGTGGTGAGAGTATGAATTACAAACAGAGAACCTTTGTAAACAGAATTTGCAACTAACATTCAAATGTAATAATTAAATCACGACACCTTAACCACTAATTACAACGTTATAAACACGTTGTTCGGGTGAGGTCTCGTTTCAGTGACCTCTCAAAGCTGCAGTACCTTAGACAAAGCACAGCCGCTGAGAGGAACGTCACCGTTGTTGCAGATTTCCAGCAGTGTGACCCCAAAGCTCCACTGGTCGGCCGTGTTGCTGTTAGACAAACTGTTGTCGACGCACTCCGGGGCGATCCACGGAATCCGCTCGAGGCGCTCTGCAATGTTTTCCCGAAATGAAAAAAAGACACCGTTGCAGAGTCAATGCGAAGTTACTTCAAGATAGCGTAAATACATAGGAATTTGTGGTGGAATCTTTTTAAAGAGAATTAGTCCTCCATGAAAACAACTGTGTCTGGGTGTGGATCAACACGCAAAAAAAAAAAAACTGCTGCGGTGGTTTTGAATCTCACATGGCAGAGGTTGCCATCACACAACAAGCGCACACGCGCTGCGCCCGGGGGGAGCGGCGCGCGTGCGCTTGTTGCGTGCGACGCTGACGATACATCACTTTCACTTTTCATTTGCGCCCACCTTCCCGTGACAAAACGCTCGGCGAGATCCCCGGGTCACTGAGTTTGATGAAAGGCGTTGTGCCCAGCTCCAGTCCTCGCCTTGCGACCAGAATATTTTTGGCACAGACGTTTCCATGAACCAGCTGTTTGGTCTCCTACAGTAGAAAAACAAAAGTGTTTTTTTCTTCCAAGATGTAGGACTAAAAGCCGACATTTATAGCAACTCATACGGGGAAAATGGAACTTACCAGGTAACTGAGAGCAGTGGCGAGCTGTTTTGCAACGATAAGTTTCCACTGAGGTATCACCGACGCCTTCTCTCTGCGCAAAAAAACGTCCAGAGGTCCGAACTCCACAAATTCCTCGACCATGATGTCTGCAAAGTGTGAGCAGGATTTCAGCTGCAATTTCCAGTAAGCAACTGTACACTGTGACGCTAATGTTCTTAAGTTGAATGTTGCATGTGGTATTTGTCCTTGGCCTATACAACCAGACTGGTCTTGACTCTGAATTTTTTTTTTTTTTTACACAATATTTTCATAAAATAGGGACACACCGATGAGACCTTTTCAATTCCCAGTACAGATACAACTTTAGTAGGCTTTAAGTTTGACATAAAATAAAAATAAGAAATTCACAGACTTGTCATCTATGGCTAAAATAAAATGTAGCAGCCCACGCCGCTTCACTCGTTCACTTCACGTTTATCGACTTCCGTACGCATCTCCCACGAGTCTTCCGTATTGTGTTTGCGTTATCTACGTGATTTTCTCTCTCTCTATTTTGTGCATTATTCTTCATAGTAGTGATGAGTCCTAAGAGAGTGAGTGGTAAGGATGGTAGAGAGAAGAAGAAAGGCACGATGACCGTGGAAATAAAGCATGAAATTGTCGATAAATATAAGCGTGGTGCCCGCTAAAGATAGAATACAAATACGAAAAAAAAAGTAAGCTAAGTTAAGTTAATTCTAAGTTTATGTATGTGTACGTGTAAGGTACGGTTCAGAATCAAGTGTCTACGTACGGGCCAACTCTCTTCCCTCCCTTCCTCCTCCTCCTCCTCCGCACAAGACGCCATTAGCCGCTACTGTACCGTCTGTCACGAAGGTAAGAGTACCGTCTGTCCCGAAGGTAAGAACTCCTAATTTAAACCACATTTTATTTGATATCACAGGAATCCTTATATACTATAATTTTTTGTGAGTGTGTATGTCTCTATAGCAATTAAAAAATGTTTTTTTCCATTGTCATTAGCACTAATAAGGGAGTTTTTTAAAGGGCCGGAACGGATTAATTTTTTTTTCTGTTATTTCTTATGGGGAAAAAATGATTCGAGATACGAGCACCTCGAGTTACGAGCTCGGTCCTGGAACGGATTAATGCTCGTATCTGGAGGTGTTACTGTATGTGTTGTGGTCATTCGAGCATCGTTTAAACGCGACAAACTTTTGTATTTTTTTTCAAAGGTGTGGGGGATTGCGGATGAGTGGGAACCGATGCGTTAAAGTCACAGAGGATGCTTTCTAAACACCTGTTACAATAACCTCTAAAGAGGAACCTGGTAAAAGGTTACTTTCATGGCATTTCCGATTTTGTTTTGTTGGGGTTTTTTTTTTTACCATGGTGGATAATGGCAGCATTATCAAAATTGTTTATGTTGAAACAGTTTGTTAGTACAAAAGCAGAAGTCACTTTGCTTACTTTCAGATCCTTTGACCGACACGCCGTGCACAAACACCAGGTGGCTGTGGGATACCTGGCTCATGAAGCTTGCCGTTTCAAAAAAGGCCTAGAACACAAAACACAACCGAAGTAGAAAAATTACATTCCGGGGGTGCATTCTTTATTAATATGTTAGTAACGTGAATGACTCTCAAGACTTACTAGTGCTATATCCTTATGGCTTTGATCCAGAACCTTCAGAACCACACGGATGGATTTCTGGTCCTTGGAGTTGTTTCTAAACCCCTCGTCTTCATCGGTGTCTCCTTTTCCCTTTACCAGATACTTGCCCGAGTAGATGTTTGTTCTGGTTCCACAACCCAGATGCTGTTCCTGTTTATAAACATACAGCAGGAGCAGTGTTAGCAGAGGGTGCAGAAACGAGCTCCGAGTTAGAGAGTGGAGCAGACCTCCGTCACCTGCACAATCTCTTTGTCTTTAATCCAGTGGAAGTGAAAGTAGGGCTTCGTCGGAGCGTGGGTTTCGTCAGTGACCAGGTGACTGGCTCCTTTCCTGATCACCAGAAGGTTGGATAGTTCTGCAGCACCACAAAGAAACGAATAGACACAATAGGGTCACCACATAACTCATGACTGGCAGGTTCATACATTAACACATTGAATTACCTGAAAGAGTTGTTAAACGTTCTTTAAATATAATAAAACATTTTTTGAAGAGTCTTGGGAAGGCCATGATTCCCATCCCATTATCAGTTAACATGCTAACTGATGAAAGTGGAAAAAGTACTGAAAAAATGTAATTAAGTAAAAGTATCTTTACTTTGCTTAATTTCTACTCAGGTAAAAGTACCCATCTAAAAATCTACTCACGTAAAGGTGAACATTTTCAGGTAAAAGTACCCATCTAAAAATCTCAAATCATGTAAAGGTTAAATTTTTTTTAAAATGTACTTTGAGTAAAAGTTACTTTGTTAAAATTACCTATTCACAAGACTTTAAAAATGTACAAATTACTCACAAAAACTACTCGAGTACAGTGACTTAAGTAAATGATATTAGCTAATTCGTGTTACTAGAATGCGTTCCTGAATTTTCGATGTTTCACAAATGGGATAAAGTGTTTCAGTAGTGAAAACTACTACCGATTTTTTTTTTTGTTTTTTCTTAAATTGCAGTAACAACTTTTATCGGAATGGTCTATTGCATTGTTTCCCAAAGACTGGGTCGCTACCCTCAGGTGGGTCGCAAGAGATTTTTTGGGGGGGTCATCTCGCATCATGTTCCCAAATAATGTCTATTGACTTGGGTCGTGAAGGTTTGTGACTTTTAAAATATGGGAAACAATGAATTGAGTGATTTAATTTTGGGACAGAAATTCAACTACAGCAATTTTCTATCACCCTGATCAATAAACTGATGGTTGTGGTGTTTTTTGTTTTTTTATTTACTAACCCTTTACTGATTCAGTCTTCTTTTTTTAAAAAAAAAACAAACAAACATATTTTGTACACCTCCTAATCACACGTGTTGCAAAAGCAGTTGCTTTCTTCAATTCCTGCAAGTATATCGGCATTATTAAATAAAGTGAATTTGGATAAACAGGCCCAGTACACCTGATAATCTCTCGTGGAACACGAGCGGTTGGAAATCACTTGTCTGTGCAACAGTGAAAGGCAGAACAATGTAATCAGCCTTGTGTTCAACTAAACAGGATCCAATCACTCGTGAGTACATTGAAACTAAAGACGAATACATATCATCACATATGCTTTTTTTTTTTGTTGGTGGGGCATCATGGGATTTTTTTCTAATGCAAAATACAGTATGTGCTGAGGGTCAGGAAGGGTCAGGAAACACAGCTTTATATTTAGAGTAAAATGGACAAAATGTAACCTGGATTATGACTGACCAACAGGAGCGTGGTCACATGCGCAGTTCAACTCACAGTGTGTTGACATTAAATGATCTATTGAGGCTCAGATCTGCACTGATGGTCACGAATACCCCACCTGCTTGTCTCGGGAAGCCGCACTTTTTAATGGCAAAGGTGTCCGATCCAGACTTGAGCGTGAAAAACTTGAGGTTGTCGATCAGCTCCTTCACACTAGAGAATTCCCGGTCCCAGCCCTCAAGAACGAACCTCGAATCCCTCTGCTCAATCCGAAACTGCTTATGAGTTATCGATGATTCGCTCTGTGAGGGGCCAAAAAAAAAAAACACAGGTGTTCCCAACTCTGCACTGCAATACCTCCAAGGAAGGAGAAGACGTGGGTGCAGATGTACCTGGTTTCTTTTAAGGACAGCAAGGATGATGCAGTGAAAGTGAAAAGTGCTCCAACGTAAGAGAAAAGCTCCCTCCTCCGCTGCCTCCTTCTTCAGCTTCAGCAACACAAAATCGTCTCTGGAAAAAAAAGAAAAAAAGAAAAGACAATAATGAGATGAAGTGCACTCTATCTCTCTTCATTTCTGGTTGCTTTCTGTACTGTGCATTAAGGAGAGAATTAACTCACTGCAGAGGCCCATGCAGTCCATTTGCCTCACTCAGTACGACCCTTGGGGGAGCCACTTCATGACACAGATAGTGGTGGGCGTCCGCAGTCAGCCGATAGTATCCGTCCAGGAGGGAGATGAAGGAATGGGCCTCCTGGCTGCTTCTCATCTGGACCACCTACGCAAACACACAAACTTAAATCATTTGCAGCCAGGATACCTACAGACCATATACCCGCTTGTAATAAAGAAAAGACTAAATTGAATAAAAATAAAAGTCAAGGAAAGTTGTTTCAATATCTAAAAAAAAAATGCAAAATTTCAGGGAACTGTTTAAAATCTATTGTCACGATCTGTTGTAAAAAAAAAAAAAAAAAAACACTGTAAAAAACCAAGAACATCTCTGTGTGTAATGGACAGAGGCAAAACCTGCTGCCGAATGTGCAAGACCGACAACCCCAAATGGTACCAACTTGGACTTAATCTGTGAGGAATTATGATTATTAAGGAAAATAACCACATATAAAGTCAGAATCTTCGTTATTGTGCACGCAGTTGGTTGATTTTTCTATTCTTAAGTTTAAAAAACACACACTTCCATTGACTTACTTCAATGCAGTACTTCTCAAATAGTGGGGCGGGTCCCCCTAGGGGGCCACAATGAGGTGCCAGGAGGGGCGTGAGGGGCTTTCAATGGAATATGGCACGCATATGGACATAAATGTACCTACTGCTATAATGCTTGAATAATAACACGCCTCCAGTCACTAGGTGGCAGCACCTCATACAGTGGTTTGTACAGGTGAAAATATACACGTTATCAGGTTCTCAGTAGTATTTCAATTCGCGGGGGTGTGGGTCGGAGGGAGAGGTGGAGGGGCGTGAAAAAATTTCTGTCCCCAAGAGGGGGGCGTGACAGAAAATAGTTGCGAACCATTGCTTTAATGTATTACTATATATTACATATAATAACAATATATAACAATATGGACAAAGGCTCTGTAACAGTGAAGGAGGGACACCCTGCTATGTATATATTTTGTTATATTGCAGTGGTTCCCAAAGTAGGGGGCGTGGGGTGCGGCATGTCAAATTAGTTTAATTTTTAATTTTTTTTAAAAACAAATTGCCACAGTTGGAACATTTGACATATCTGTAATTGTATTTTCTTTTTCTCTGAGAAAATCTGAGAAGTAATTTTTTTTAACAATTAAAGTGATAATTTAATAATTAATTATATAATTTAATACAATTCGCTAGAGTTTTGAAGGACGCTGCTGTAATGTATTAATTGTAGAAACTGTGTTTTTTATTATTGGGCTGAGTGCCATGTGTTTGGTCTGATGGCGTTAATTCTAGGTTTTAATCACGGTGTGCATTTCTGGAGTGGAAGATAACATTTTCTGCCTCTCATCTAATCATTTGGTACAACTTTTTCGAGATCATCATAATGTGTATTTAATGTCCTTTTAAAAATACTAAAACGTATCTAATTATCCAAACATGTAAACCCTCTCTCTCTAGCGCCATCAAAACCTAAAAGCCTTTCATCACTCATCCTTGACACCGCAAGTCTCCAAATTAAGGCTGGTAAAGTCGCTTGAAATCAAAGCTCCAGCGGTGGGGCTGAGAAGCTACGAGCACAAACGTTACAAGCTCAGATGCTAATTAAACAAATGCATTAGGCTTTCACGTAACAAGTGCTCTCACCATGCACTGGTTTTCCTGAGTGCTAATGCAGACATTAGCTCCATTAACGGCTATATGAGTTATTTCAGGAAAATCACAGAAGGATGTCAATTTGTTGGGGCTTTTCACGCTGGCCTGCGCAGACTGGCGCTTGGCTTTCCTGGAGAAGTTCATGTAGTCATTCCCAGGACAAGCGTTGTCTTGTGCCTAAGTTAAAGAAAAGGAAGGATTATTACAATCCAAAAAAGACAACGACACAAAAACAGCCACGCCAAACCGCACAACGCCGTTTTTTTTCTTTCAAACCTGCACAGACACCTTCCTCCACCGAATCCCTTTGATGCCAGACACTATGATTTCATGGGTGGTGGGAGCCGTGAAGTTGTCCTTTTCATCATCCTGAGGATCCATTCTGTTCAAGTAGGAGCTGCCTTCATCCCCGTCATTTCTCACCTCCAGGTGGGGTACGGCGAAAGTCTCCGTACCAAAACGCGGGGCCAGGTTTTCAAGAGTGGCAATGTACTTATACATGATCTCCTGGGTGCCTACATGCTTCCTGTCCACGGTGTGTTGCTGGAAGGTCTGCACGAATTCCCCAAACACTCTGTGGATCCTGATTTTCGTCAGGAAGTTGTCTTTAGAAATGCTCCTGGCGAAAGACTTCGGAATGCAATGCAGGAAGCTACAAAAGTGTCACCACAAAGAACAGTCCGAATTAGGAAAAACAATTATTTAGTAATATATATTTGAAAAAAAACCTCAAAGTTACCATATTTTCAGGACTATAAGTCACACTTTTTTTCATCCTTTGGCTGGTTTCGCGACTTATACTCGAGTGCGACATATATTAAAATATATATTTTCACATTTCTTATTTTCAAACAGCAGCCACTAGAGGGACCTCTAGGCTTGTTTATCAGTATCTGCTACTCCTGTATCACTGAAGATATACATGTTCGTTATTTTCACACTGACAGCCACTAGAGGGCACTGGTGCGCCTTATACTCCGGAGCGACTTATAGTCCGGAAATTACGGTAAGCGGAAAAGGGTAAAAAAAAGTTCAAGAAGTGTCATCTTAAGAAAGTTTTTCTTTGGTGGAAAATTCAAGAAAGTTCATCCTCCAAACAGAGGGCCAGGATTTAAATTTGGCATTGGCATATCTGTTGCACGGCAACTTGAGCCACCTATAGGACGTGACCCAGAAACCATCTGTAAAAATATGGGGAGGGTTGAGAGAGGGGCAATTCAGCATTAAAATACGTAAATGTGCTTTGTGGAGGCCAATTGTGTGTCTTTTTTTTGAATTCCTGCGAGTTGTGTCAGTGTTGCGGTCAAACTGGGGGAGGCTGATAAACACTGCTCCACAGTATCAGTCACCCACAGTTGGTGATAACACTGACTGAAACGGAAACCCATCCTACTGTATGACGTCACCCCGGCCACACTCGCCAGCCGTATATTTACCTGACCTTCTCTGCCACCTCTTTTAAGGTACAGTCCGCCACGGCTGCCTGTTTTGAGAGGTAAAGCACGGCCATCCCCAAACTCTCGTTTTTGAAGCGGCTCAACTCCTCCTCCGACTGAATTTCATCGATCTGCACCACGTCGTTCACAAATGCATGCTTGGCCTTTATAGAGAGACACACAGACAGACAGACAGGCAAACAGGTATTAGGTACACCCTGATGATGTACGACCAGCTGGTGAACTAAAAGGCATCGCTGTAGGCCGCATACCTGAGCAAATAAATACTCCAAAGACATGATGTCAAGCAAAGGAGACAACCCCTGCTCGGGTCTGTTTCGGAGACAGTAACGGGACACAGCTGGCTCATTCTTGTTCAGACCGTGCCAGTTCTGGAAGTAAAACCTATATACAAAGGGAGAGACGTTGGTATTATGGAAAGACAACGGCGTTCCTCGTTTTCCGCTGGCACAGCGTTGAGAACAGACTAACCTCATATAGTAATGAAGTACAAGACAGGAGTTCTCCTCTGGGCTGAAAACATGGTTCGGACTGTACCAACAGCAGGACTGTGGGTTGTACAAGGCAAACAGAACGTAGCACAGCGGCGTTATACCTGTGGAATAGAGAGGGAGGAGAAAAAGACCCACAGAGGAAGTCGTTGTATCATCTTTTTTTTAAAAATAATCAAAGGAAATTAAACCAACCAGGAGGTAAGGAATGAATGAATTACGGGAAGCAGTGGATTTTTTTTTATTTTTTTAATGAAAACATCAAGCACAATCACAGGCGTTCCTAGCCAGGCGGCTGGACCTGGACCGGCACAATCACAGGCGTTCCTAGCCAGGCTGCTCGACCTGGACCTGGACCAACCTAGAACTTTTTCTCAGCTGCCTAATGGTTTAAAATACACATTTTAACTTAAAGTTACTATAAACTGTTAAAATTAAAAGGAAAATAGCTAGTGATAAACAATTCAAAATATAAAAGATGCAAAGGAGTTATTCAGTGTAAATGTATACACTAACCCAAAATAATGCACTGGACCTGTGATCTGATTGAAGTAAAATAAATTAAATTAAATAAACAAACAAACATATACCTCTGATTGACGTCACTGTTTAGTGCAGTACATTTGTTTTTTACGTGGAAAAATTATATCTGAATGAGATGTGTGGTCACAGAAGATGCGATGTGTATGTTTTATTGTTGAATTTAACAGTACAGCAGCAGGCAAAAAAAAAGTAAAAAAATGTTTCTGCTCACCGACAGCCCGGGCGGCTGAGATACACAGCTCCTCAGCTGTGATCGCTCCACCAGTGTGGGACAAGTATCTCTCCCCATCATTAGTCCAGAGGAGAAGGACATGGATGCCTGGACCATTAGGAATCTCGCTGTGGCCCGGGAGATCTCTGGCTCTGGAACTCTTGGATCCGCACCTTTTGAACATTGCTGGAGGAAACCCAGACAATGACGCAACACAAATACACATAGACCTATGATTGGTAAAAACACAATTCTCACAATTCCCTTAAAAACCTAAAAAAAAAAAACTTCTATAACATAGCATTTTGAAGTCTTCGTAGTAAATAATCAACAGTTTTTTTTCTTCCTAAAGTTTTTTTTTTTTTTTCATCTGCTTTCCTTCACTGTGGACTGTCACAGAGTCACTATCTTAGCATAATGATTCAGCAGTTTGTATTCTGGCCCAACCAACAGGCCGGGGACCGGTAGAGGGCCGTGGATTATTTGGTTCTGGGCATCTATCATTATACTTCTTGCCTTTTCCCCGCAATACCCACGTTTCCCCAATAGATGGCGTAGAAAATGATAAAAGCATTTTAGCCTTTATGCATGATTTTTACATGTCATTTCTCTTAGTTCACACCGACCGCTCCATCTATCTGCTCCTGACCTGCCCCCCCCTGTTC